ATCTGTAGAATTCCATGAAGCCACGAACTTTATGCCAGTAGTGAAAGTTTGTAGAGACTACTTTTCAGCTCTTGCAAATCATTACAAACCGCCATAAAAAGTAGCGAAGGTGCAAAATTCCCCCCCCCCCAAACCCAGACTACGCCACTTCTTTCGCATTACCTACTTACTAATGAGTTTCTTCAGCTGAACTTATCGGAAGTTGCCGCTTTTCCTGAAAATCAGTGCAGCAAACCGGCATGTATTGAGTCGATGACATGGTCACCTGATGGTGCGATACTCGCTGTGGCGATGAGTGATGGTCATTTACATCTGATTGAAGCGGAACAGGGCGTAGTCAGATGGTCGAGAAAGTGAGTAATGATTTTTTTTCCACGAACACAGTGCATCTCAGGGTCAAAAAGGACCTTGAGCATCTTATGTGCAGTGTAAAGTAGTTCCAAGTAGCACTGGCACTGATGCGACGAAACTAATAGAATATTCCTAAGGGCGTGTTAGTACTTCTGGGTACGACCCCTTGGATTGCGCGATCGGTTAGCGTAGTATGAACGCACTTTTAGCTAGCTGACTAGGTATGGTGCGACAAGTTCATAATCGAGCAATTATGCTCATGCGAATGCGAATACCGTGCTCATGACGTCACTTTCCAGCTCCCTGCCTTATTGCTTCTTGCTGAAACTAATCTCGCAGCCGATTATCTCTTCTGCATCATACAAGCACGCGTTTCGAAAACCAACCTAAGAAAAACTGAGGAGTCTTGATTTACTAGCGTGAAGGTATCTGTATTGAAGGCTTGGACGGAGCACTTGTGCTCAACAAATGCGATGGTTTTGGAGTGGTGATCCCCCAGATCCGAAATCACGTCTGAAATGGGACTGGTCATACGAGGATGAGACCAAGGCAGCGGTATGTTTCCTTGTTATTACTGACGAAGCGATTTTCATTCAGAGCAACATTCCTTGACGCATTGGGCTGAGTTGTCCCTATGAAATGAGAGTAAGGGAGGGGGGGGGTGGGCGGAGGATATATATATTGTGTGGCAACATTCACCACCATCCTAAGAGCAGCGCTTTCGTGGTTGTGAGATTTGAATCCTGCATATGGCCTGCAGCTGTTTCAGAGAACTACTAAAGATCTTCTGATCATAACGAGAAGGTCGAGTGGGATGAAATTATTGCTAAAGTGGGCTCTGTAAGGTGTGTTCATAGTTTGCGTCAGCGTTTTGAGCGTTTCGAGGGTACGGCTGCGTTTTGAGCGACTAGCAAATTATAGATAAAGATTCTGCATTTTGAGTGTACGCCAGCGTTTCGCGGGTAGTTTTGAACTTTTCACGAGCAGTCAATAAAGCCGCTGGCGTAAGCCTAAAAGGCTAACTCGACACCTGTACTTTCCTTGTCGCTCAAAACGCTTGAGCGATACGCTCAAAGCGTTGACGCAAAATATGAACTCAACCTAACGATTTTTTTGCGTCGTTCTGTTTGAATTGCTTCCAGTCTTGTTCGCTGCGGGTACTGGAGCCTGTCCGGGTACCTGGGTCTGCGCAGCCCCAGCCTGCTCTCCACCATTTGTAGGAGCGCGTAAGCGAAAACAATTGGCGCAAAATGGGTTGACGTCGCGCCGAACGGAGCTTTCTTGACGCTTCCTGGGATCCGCAGCGAACAAGACAACACAGCCATCTCATATTCCTCAAAATTTTCTCCCGGTTGAATATTTCCGTCTTCCGTAAAGTCTTCCTTACAGGCGAGCATCTTTGGCAACGGTGATGTCGTCGATGAACGCCTTGGAAAGAGCTTATTGTACGAGATTCTATACCTAAAGTCGCTGCGACAAACTGTTCTGTTTATGGTACGCGAATTTGAGCCAGCGAGTTCGAAAGCGAATATTTTGTTGATTCTCTGCAGATACGTGATGATTTCGTAGTGTTGGTATTAGCTGGTGGAATTCTACCTCTTTGCGAAATACGACTGATGGAGAAACTTGGTAAGTTTCAGTCCGCACTTGGAGCACTATAGAGGATTGTAGATCTTTCGTTTTTGTATAAGAAAAAGTC